AATGGAAATAACTGCAGAAGGCCTATTGGCCCATACTTCCTCTTGCTGCTTTTATATTGGTTCGGAGTCTTGAAGTGGGTAGAATATAGTTGTGCATTAATTGGCTGTTGATTGCTGGTGTTGACTTTTTGATGTGTAGTGCCTCGCTGATGTCGAGCCTCCTGGTATCGCTGTATCTATCGATGATTTCTTTGTTGTTTTTAAGATTTCTCTGGTGATGGTCTGGTTGTGAGAAGAGATTATATGTTCCTTAATGAAGCCCTGTTGCTTATGCATCGTTAATCGCCTGGAAAGAGATGTTGTTGTCTTGCCTATATACTGAGTTCTTTGGGGCTTACAGTCCCCAAGTGGGCATTTGAAGGCATAGACGACGTTGGTCTCCTTCAAGGCGTTCTGTTTGGTGTCTGGGAAGTTTCTCATGAGTAGGCTGGCCGTTTGTTTTGGTTTTATAGTAAATTTTCAATTGTATCTTCTGATTTTTATCTGTAGGGATAACGTTCCTATCAACAATATCTTTCAGGACTCTTTCCTCCGTTTTATGAGCTGTGGAAACGAAGTTCTTGTAAAACAGTCTAATAGGGGGTATAGGTGTTGTGTTAGTTGTCTCTTCAGAGGTTGCATGGCGTTTCACCTTCCTTCTTATGATGTCTTCCACGAAACCATTGGAGAAGTCGTTGTTGACTAGGACCTGCCTTACCCAACAAAGTTCTTCAACGACTTGCTTCCATCCTGAACTGTGGCTGAGAGCACGTGGTCCAGTACACCACACCTTGAGGGCCTCCAGCTGGTCCAGTACACCACACCTTGAGGGCCTCCAGCTGGTCCAGTACACCACACCTTGAGGGCCTCCAGCTGGTCCAGTACACCACACCTTGAGGGCCTCCAGCTGGTCCAGTACACCACACCTTGAGGGCCTCCAGCTGGTCCAGTACACCACACCTTGAGGGCCTCCAGCTGGTCCTTTTTTTTTAAGAAAATTGAAAAATTAACTGTAAAAATTCATCTTACAATTCTGTTATGACTTGACGGTAAGAGACGCGCTTCGATCAGACCAGACTCTTGTCAACATTACCACAGGCGGAGGTCCAATGGTGACAACGATTGATTGATAGAGATGAAGCCACCCCAGAGTGGCACGGGCATGAATAACCCGTAAGTGGAGGTAGTTTGGAGTCAGTACCAGTACCTATGAAATAATGGTACCAGTACCAGTACCTTTGATCTTTAGTTATAATTGATTGATGAAGATTAAGCCACCCCAGAGGTGGCAGGGGCTTGAATAACCCGTAAATTTTTTTAGTCATAAGATTTGTGGTTAATGATATACAGGCGAAGATGAGGTGAAGGTGATGATCCTCACTAATATGAACTAATAGGTCCATGGCACCTATGATGAAGGTGCCATGGACCTTCACGGTCCATGGACCATGGTGAAGGTGATGATCCTCACTAATATGAACTAATAGGTCCATGGCACCTTAACTGATCTGTAATATTAGATACATATATCTACTCTCCCATCACATATGGGAGAGTACATATATGCACCTTTACACTTGTCCTGACAAACTGTGAACCCGTGTACAGTAATGTGATGCCACCACCATAATCAACCCCAACCTAACCCAACCCAACCAAACCCAACCTAACCCAATCCAGCCTAACCCAACGCAACTCAACCTAACCTGACCCAACCCAACAAACCCTAACCTAACCCAACCCAACCCGACCAAGAGATAGAATGTTGTATTATATATATATGGTGTGTAGGAGTGGTGGTGTGTGAGTGTGAGGTGAGAGTGTGGAGGTGGGAGCAGGTCCTGGACTGCTGCACCAGGCCGTCCTCCTCACGCTCCCCTGCGTCATGAAACTCTCGCACTAAAGTGTCCTGATCCTAACCGACCAGAGGACCCATAACAGAGAACGGGACAGTACGTCACTTTCGGCATCAACTTCCATTTTCTAGTACGACAATTATTGGCCATAGAGTATACGTCAAAATGCGACGTGTTATTAGGAGGCCGTGGTGAGTTACGAGTTAACAACACTACCACCAGCACCGGTCATTAGAATTATTTAGTAAAGACCTTTGAGTGGCGGGCAGGAGGCAGGACTGGGAGCGTCACACAGTCTGTAACACAGTCTGGTCTGACCACCTCACCTGTGATGGGTAGACATGGTAGGTTGACGGGTGTGGCACTGAGGGAGGCTTGGCACCGAGGGAGGCTTGGCACTGGGGGAGGTGTGGCACTGGGGAGGAGGCTTGGCACTGGGGGAGGTGTGGCACTGGGGGAGGTGTGGCACTGGGGGAGGTGTGGCACTGGAGGGAGGCATGGCACTGGGGGGAAGGCTTACCTGGTTGATGGGGTTCTGGGAGTTCTTCTACTCCGCAAGCCCGGCCGGAGGCCAGGCTTGACTTGTGAGAGTTTGGTCCACCAGGCTGTTGCTTGAAGCGGCCCGCAGGCCCACATACCCACCACAGCCCGGTTGGTCCGGCACTCCTTGAAGAAAACAATCTAGTTTCCTCTTGAAGATGTCCACGGTTGTTCCGGCAATATTTCTGATGCTCGCTGGTAGGACGTTGAACAACCGCGGACCTCTGATGTTCATACAGTGTTCTCTGATTGTGCCTATGGCACCTGTGCTCTTCACTGGTTCAATTCTGCATTTTCTTCCATATCGTTCACTCCAGTAGGTTGTTATTGTACTGTGCAGATTTGGGACCTGTCCCTCCAGTATTTTCCATGTGTATATTATTTGGTATCTCTCTCGTCTCCTTTCTAGTGAGTATATTTGGAGAGCTTTGAGACGATCCCAATAATTTAGGTACTTTATCTCGTCTATGCGTGCCGTATATGTTCTCTGTATTCCCTCTATTTCAGCAATCTCTCCTGCTCTGAAGGGGGAAGTGAGTACTGAGCAGTACTCAAGACGGGACAACACAAGTGATTTGAAGAGTACAACCATTGTGATGGGATCTCTGGACTTGAAGGCACTTGGCCCTGGGGAAGGCTTGGCACTGACGGGGAGGTGTGGCACTGGAGGTGTGGCACTAGGGGAGGTGTGGCACTGTGGGTGGGGGGGGTTAGCGACACACAGTGAGAGACCGAGGTGAGACAAGAGCGGGGGGGGGCGGGGGGGCGTATGGCAGGGGGGGGCGGGGGGGCGTATGGCAGGGGGGGCGGGGGGGCGTATGGCAAGGGGGGGCGAGGAATGACCCGGAATGAGATAGTATAGGAGTGGGATATGAGCCCTGGGGGGGGGAGATGTGGGGAGGGGGGGCCGTAGGGGTAGCAGGGGAGGGGAAGGGGCAGAAGGAATGCGGCCCTATACGCCGGCCATTGATCAAAGGTGTTTCCCCTCACATATTGAATGCCTGCACGTGGCGCGGGCGTGCGGGCGCCTGAACCCCGCCGCGCGCGCGCAGCCTCAAGCGACACAATGACTGGCTGGCAAGTTGACACCTCTCAACCGTCCCAACGGTTGAGAGGTTTTCAAATAAATAGGAACTTCATTTCAGAGGTATAAGTTGTACCCCACAACACACACGTGAACAAACCCCACCAACACACACGAGGTAGGGGGTGGAGAACAGTGTGAGGGAGGGGGTGGAGAACAGTGTGAGGGAGGGGGTGGAGAACAGTGTGAGGGAGGTGGGTGGAGAACAGTATGAGGGAGGGGGTGGAGAACAGTGTGAGGAAGGGGGGTGGAGAACAGTGTGAGGGAGGAGGTGGAGAACAGTGTGAGGGAGGTGGTGGAGAACAGTGTGAGGAAACTCCGTGTGAACTCCGTGAGGAGGCCATTTATGAACTGTACTTTGTTGTTTGTTCTTGTTTTCAGTCCTTGTATGTTGGCAAAGATGAATGAGGTTACTCTATTAGTGATGGTTTGACTGGGAACTTTTTCGGCAAGTCCATTATGCGTGGACATATTGAGCTTGTTCTGACCAGTACTGATTGTTGTAGGGCAGTTGCCTGTTGTAGTTGTAGTTCCCTTTCGGTGGGTAATTGTATCTGTAATTCTGGAATGTAAGTGGGTCTGGCATCCAGTTCCATACACTCTCAATGCTCCTCCTTTTGAATTCCCCTTCAATTTGGTATAAAAAATTTATTGAGTTTCCTCCAAATTCATTATCGTGCTTGCCACTCTTTATGTTTCGTTCTGAAGTATAATGAAGTAATCACTGAAGTATAATGTTGTGAAATCCGTGTAATGGCGTCAGGTGGCGCATTTGGTTCATAACCCCGTAACGATTATTTGATCTCACAGGTGGACGGCCCGTCATCATCCTTCATTAGCTCTCTCTCCACCCCGCCTAGTGGACTCTCCCTCCACCCCGCCTTGTGGACTGTCCCTCCACCCCGCCTTGTGGACTCTCCCTCCACCCCACCTTGTGGACTCTCCCTCCACCCCGCCTCTCTCCCTCCACCCCGCCTTGTGGACTGTCCCTCCACCCCGCCTAGTGGACTCTCCCTCCACCCCGTGGACTCTCCCTCCACCCCGCCTTGTGACTGTCCCTCCACCCCGCCTCTCTCCTCCACCCCGCCTTGTGGACTGTCCCTCCACCCCGCCTTGTGGACTGTCCCTCCACCCCGCCTTGTGGACTCTCCCTCCACCCCGCCTTGTGGACTGTCCCTCCACCCCGCCTTGTGGACTCTCCCTCCACCCCGCCTTGTGGACTCTCCCTCCACCCCGCCTTGTGGACTGTCCCTCCACCCCGCCTTGTAGACTCTCCCTCCACCCCGCCTTGTGGACTCTCCCTCTACCCCGCCTTGTGGACTCTCCCTCCACCCCGCCTTGTGGACTGTCCCTCCACCCCGCCTTGTGGACTGTCCCTCCACCCCGCCTAGTGGACTCTCCCTCCACCCCACCTTGTGGACTCTCCCTCCACCCCGCCTTGTGGACTGTCCCTCCACCCCGCCTTGTGGACTCTCCCTCCACCCCGCCTTGTGGACTCTCCCTCTACCCGCCTTGTGGACTCTCCCTCCACCCCGCCTTGTGGACTGTCCCTCCACCCCGCCTTGTGGACTGTCCCTCCACCCCGCCTTGTGGACTCTCCCTCCACCCCGCCTTGTGGACTGTCCCTCCTCCCCGCCTTGTGGACTGTCCCTCCACCCCGCCTTGTGGACTGTCCCTCCACCCCGCCTTGTGGACTGTCCCTCCACCCCGCCTCGCCGCCCGGACAAGATGCTGAGGGTGTTCCGGTAACAAGCGGCCGCTACAGTAGTTGAGAGGTGAGGTGTTCAGCAGGAGGTGCTGAAGATGGGGTGCGGGATGAGCTCCGAGGCCGCCGCCGCCGCCGCCGTCCCCGTAAGTAACTCCTCGCTTCACCTCCCATAATAAACAATGAGATATTTAATCATAATAATACAAATTTGTCATTTAGTGTTGTTCTGCTCGCCCTAAAATTCTTGTAAATTCAATAAATTATCAATATTTGTTTATTGGCGAAAAATTTAATAATTCACGGGAAGTTTATTCCATAAGTTAAATTATTAAATGTGTTCCTGGCATTGATGTTATTGAGGTAGTTTGTGTGAGGTGGTTAACGACCTTCCTGGCATTGTCAGCCAGGAAGGTCTATCTAAATTTATCTCCAACCTCATAAAAAACCTGTCAGCCTGCCTCCCGTTGACAGCCTGCCTCCCGTTGACAGCCTGCCTCGCAAAAAATCATCACTTTCATCAACCCAAAATGTACACGTACACGTACACACACACCCACACGTACACATAGGTACACACAGTCTATGGGCTGTTTCCTGAGGGCATGTGTGTGTTAGAGAGAAATATATACAGTAGACATATAATAGAGAAAAATAAATTGGTTAGAAAGGAGGGATCCTGCAAGAGCTAACAGCTCGATTCTGCAGGCACACTAAGCAAATACAAAATAGTAAACACACACACACACGTAGTGTATGTCCAGTCTGAAAGATAACTTTCAGACTGAACAACGACCGCCACTAACCAGGCCCTCCAACACTAACCAGGCCCTCCAGCACTAACCAGGCCCTCCAGCACTAACCAGGACCTCCAACACTAACCAGGACCTCCAACACTAACCAGGCCCTCCAGCACTAACCAGGCCCTCCAGCACTAACCAGGACCTCCAACACTAACCAGGCCCTCCAGCACTAACCAGGCCCTCCAGCACTAACCAGGACCTCCAACACTAACCAGGCCCTCCAGTACTAACCAGGCCCTCCAGTACTAACCAGGCCCTCCAGCACTAACCAGGACCTCCAACACTAACCAGGCCCTCCAGCACTAACCAGGACCTCCAACACTAACCAGGACCTCCAGCACTAACCAGGACCTCCAGCACTAACCAGGGCCTCCAGCACTAACCATGCTCTCACACCAATTGTTACCCTTCCAGACTAACCCAGACGAGGCCCTGGAGCTGGCCGTCCGTAAGGGCGACCTATCAGGGCTGGAACAGGCTCTACAGAACCAGGGTAACGTTAATAAGCGCTTCAGGGACCCAGAGACTGGCTACGACTACACTGCCCTCCACCTTGCTGCCAAGCTGGGCCACCCCGACGCCATCACAACCCTTATTAAGGTGAGGCTCCGGGTCGTCAGTCGTGTGTGTGTGTCGTCAGTCGTGTGTGTGTCGTCAGTCGTGCGGGTCGTCAACGTGCCTGTCGTCAGTTGTGCGTGTTGTCAGTCGTGTGGTTAAAGCGGAAATGTTCTTGGCATGCTCTGTCAAGCTGATCTGGTAGTATCCTTTCAACAGGTCTATCTGAGAGAGATACTTGGCTACCAATAGCTTTAAGTACATCGCCGATGCGTGGCAAGGGATGGATGCATTAAGCTTACGGTAATCAGTACAGAGTCTTACCTTGCCGTGTAGCTTTGGCACCAATATACAGGGTGAGGCCCAAGGGGACTCACAAGATGTGGCCAGCTCATTGGTTGAGGAGGTACCACACTTCAGCGAACATAGCTTCCCTCCTCTGTGGACTGATGCTGTAGTATGGTCGACGAGTTGGCATCGTATCGGGAAGTAGCTTGATGTCGAGTCCCACTACAGTACACTCCTGCGGTGTGTCTTGGAACAAATCTCTATGTGTATTGAAGATGTGGATGAGAGGAGCACTGTTGTTGGAGTCCTGGAAATAGTTAGGAAGATCGTTCAAGATTTCAAGATAAAATCTGAGTTAGAGAGCATTAGAATCATTGCACTCAGGAGGAGAAGCAGGGTAGTTTTCACTATGAGTATATAGATCCTTCAATGTGGAAATGAACATCATCACAGTTGGAGGATTACCTTGGTACGGCTTAAGAAGATTGATGTGATACAGTTGGGTCTTCTGCCGCCTATCTGGAGTCTGTAGGACGTAGTTATGATTGTTCCGACATTCTTTGATGCGATATGGACCTGAAAATTTAATTTGGAAGGAAGGGCCTGGGATAGGAAAGTAGGCCAGAACGAAGTCTCCAGCATTAAATTTCCTTATTTTAGTACGTTGGTCAAAGTGTGCTTTTATTTTATTCATGAATGTTGACAAGTTAGCACTGGCAAATTTACGTACTCTTTCAACGATATGCCTCAATCACGAAAGGTGCTAGAGGACAAGGAATCTCTAAAGGCTTTAAGGAGGGTGCTAATGCAAAATTTTCTTAAAAGTTATTTGAGAGTCTGATGACTACATTCTAGAGATCCTTGTGAAGCAGGATGATAGGGGCTAAACCAATACCTGTGTGATGTTGAACTTTTTAAGGGTTTTCTTGAATAAGTCACTGGTGAAGTTTGTGTCACAATCGCTCTGTATCTCCTTGGGAAATCCGTATTGTATGAAGATCTTCAAGAGGGGCTTAACAACTGTAGCAGCCGTAATGTTATTAACGGGAACTGCTATATGGAACCTGGTGGCAGGACACATGATAGTAATGATGTAGCATTATTAAGAATGCAGTAATGATGTTGCCTGAGCTGGTACGAGGTAGAGGCCCGACGCAGTCGACGATGAGCTTGCTGAACGGCTCTGAAGGCACAGGAATAGGAATCACAGGTGCCTTGGGTATGGGAGCGTTCGGTTACCTTCCATCTGATACATATGGCAGATGTTTACGAAGGTCCTCACGTCACAAGCCATACTTGGCCAATAATCTTGTAATAATGCATAATACGTTTTATTAATGCCATAGTGTGACATGGGCCAGACAAATAATCTCCTTCCTTAAGGAGGTAGGAACTACCAATTAGCCCAATCAATTGTATTGTTGACAATTAGTCAACATTAGCCCAATCGTCCTCCTCCTTTAACTTACTGGGTCTGAATCTGCGATATCAAATTTGATTATTTTTTAAAATACCCAGGGGGATAGAATCAGTTTGAGTTTAGGCCTGGAAGAACAAAGGAGTTAAGGATAAATCATCTTTCTGTATCTTACGGAACTCCAACAGGTTGAGATTCTGTGGGAGGCCCAGAGCACCTTGAGGGACAACCGGAGCTACTTGCTGTGGTTGAGGGGCAGGTGGACGAGTAGTCACCAGGACTGGCTGGGAGATGTCCTCTGTGTCGTTGGTCGGTTGTACCTCCTCTGCAACGTGTTTCATAACAGGGTTTTCGGAGGAGGAGTCGCATACCTGTGGTTTGTTACATATAATGAGGTTCGTGGATTCTTGATGTTCTGCCAAGTCGTTGCCCAAGAGAAGTTGAATTCCTGGCATGGGGAAAGGCATCTGATGACGACTTGGACTTCACCACGGACGAAAGAACCATCCAGGTGGACTGTAGCGAGTGGGTGTGGAGTGATTGCAGTGAGGTCGGTGATGAGACGGTTTCTCCAGTGTAGGTGACCTTGGGTGCAGCAGCTTTCAGGAGTATGGTTTGTAGAGCGACTATGTCCCTCACCATGTTCACTGTGACCTGTCCCTCAGAATCGCCACCGTTGGTGGAGAGAAAGATTAGAAGCTGGAACATGAATATTCATAACAGGCTTATGAGGTTTAGGAGGTGGAGGTTTAGGCTTATGTGATTCGTGGCTCGTTTTACAGTGGGGATTGGTACACTTTTCACTCATGTGCCCATATACCTTACAGTAGCCGCAGTAGAGTGAGTAGTTCACATCAGCTGAACTTACTTTAGCAGGGCTGGACCAAGATGATTTACTGGGATAGCGTATGCCTGCCAGCTGACCAAAGTAGTCAGGTAGAATTTCCTTCACTAGGTTGACAGATGCCGAAGAGGGGGACAGGAAGGCTGGTACAGCGATTTGTGTTGCTGTTGGAACGCCGAGGCCCCCAAGTCTTAAGTGAAGAGAGGCTTGCTTCCACAGTAGGTCGTCGAGAGAGAGGTTGAGAGCTTTTTCTAATCATGTTTAAGTATAATATAAAATATGTATACCGTTGTTGATTTCTGCTTCCCTTTGGCAGGCCGGAGCGCGACCCCAGGACCTGGACAGCCAGGGTCACGTCCCTCTACAGATCGCAGCCAAGTATGACAAAGCCGACGCCATCGCTGCGCTGCTGGCCGTGAGTCACTCTAGCTTGTCCTACCACTTAATTTTACTCACGCCCTTCACACCAACATTTTACTCACGTTGCCCCATTTTGCACTCATGCAAATTCACTCACTGTTACGGCCGTTTTGGGTCGCAACTGGGTTCTTTCTCTGATGTTGTTAGAGGTAGGGTATCCGGCCCCAAGTTAGTAGTGGCTTTCAAGGGGTGTGTTCCGTAACGCAAGTAAATTAAAGGGGAGGGAAGGGATACGATCACACAAAATTAAATATATAATTATCACCATCACCATAAATAAATATATAAATTATCACACGGGGGGGGGGGGGGGTTATGAACACTATAATATACAATAAACGTCCTCCCCACCATTCCCCACTCCCTCGTCTGATGCGTTTCCAAATGATCTGATGTTCCCATCAGAAAAATGGGAACATCAAATGAACTGATGTTCCCATCACTGAAAAATAAGAACAGTTAAAAAACGAAATGAAAAACAATGAAAAAAATAATAAACTATACCCACAAAATTAACGGTATGGTAAACAACACAGCACAATTCCAATGCATTGTCACACAAAATAATTAAATCAAAAGAAAAATAAATCGAAATCTATGAAAGTTCAATTTATCAATGAAATTGGAAACATTGAAATGGAATCGTAACATATTTAGTATAGAGTGTGTTGCTTTTACCTCCAACAGATGGCGCTGTTTTTAAAAAAAGCATGTTTTCACCTGTCACAGGTGTGGCATCTATATAGTAGGTATATAAAAACATCCGTGTATGCGAATGGAACGTTGTGTCAAAATTTCAAAGTAATCGGCGAAGAACTTTCGGAGATTAGCGATTTTGAACAAACGAAAATTTTCATTTTTATTTATATATAAATTTATTTATACACGAGTTCTTACATTCTTGTACTCAACTAGTGTACTTGCGAGGGGTGAACTTTGGCTCTTTGGTCCCGCCTCTCAACCGTTAATCAACTGATATACAGGTTCCTGAGCCTACTGGGCTCTATCAAATCTAGATTTGAAACTGTGTATGGAGTCAGCCTCCACCACATCACTACTTGATGCATTCCATTTGTTAAATACTCTGACACTAAAGAAATTCTTTCTAACGTCTCTGTGACTCATTTGGGTACTAAGTTTCCACCTGTGTCCCCTTGTTTGTGTTCCACCTGTGCTAAAGAGTTTGTCTTTGTCCACCCTGTCAATTTCACTGAGAATTTTGTAGGTGGTTATCATGTCTCCTCATACTCTTCTGTTTTCCAGGGACGTGAGGTTCAGCTCCCTTAGCCTTTCCTCGTAGCTCATTCCTCTCAGTTCCGGGACGAGTCTGGTGGCATACCTCTGAATCTTCTCTAAATTTGTCTTGTGTTTAACTTGGTATGGACTCCAGGCTGGAGCTGCATACTCCAGGATTGGTCTGACATAAGTGGTATACAGGGTCCTGAACAATTCCTTACACAAGTTTCTAAAGGCAGTTCTTATGTTGGCCAACCTAGCATATGCCGCTGATGATATCCTTTTGATATTGGCTTTTGGGGACAGGGTCGGTGTGATATCAACCCCCCAGATCTTTGACTCTTGCAGGATTTCACCTCCCAGATGGTACCTTGTGTTTAGCCTTCTGCTCCCTTCGCCTAATTTCATTACTTTACACTTTCCTGAGTTGAACTTTAGTAGCCATTTTCTAGACCATTCCTCCAGTTTGTCCAGGTCATCTTGTAGTCTCTGTCTATCTTCATCTGTCTTGATTCTTCTCATAATTTTTGCATCATCAACAAACATTGAGAGGAATGAGTCTATACCCTCCGGAAGATCGTTAACATATATTAGAAACAGGATGGGTCCAAGTACAGAGCCCTGTGGAACTCCGTTGGTGACATCTCGCCACTCTGATGTCTCCCCCTCACAGTTACTCGCTGTTTAAAGTTGCTTAGATACTCCCTTATCCGCTGGAGCACCTTATCTTTTACTCGTGCCTGCTGCTCCAACTTTTGTAACAACTTTTTATGGGGCACTGTGTCAAAAACTTTCTGGCAGTTCAAGAAAATGCAATCTGTCCACCTTTCTCTTTCTTGCCTATTTTTGTTGCTTGGTCATAGAATTCTATTAAACTTGTGAGGCACAATTTACAATCTCTGAACCCATGCTGGTGGTGTGTTACAAAGCTATTTCCCTCCAGATGCTCTACGAGCCTTTTTCTCACGATCTTCTCCATCACCTTGCATGGTATACAAGTTAGGGAAACTGGCCTGTAGTTCAGTGCCTGTCACCCTTCTTGTATATTGGGAGTACATTGGCTGTCTTCCAGCTTTCCGGTAGGTCTCCTGTTTACAGTACACCATAGAGAGTGGCACACTTAGTGCTTTTGCACCTTCTTTTAGTATCCACGGTGAGATTCTGTCAGGCCCAACAGCCTTTGTCACATTCAGCTCCAACAGATTCCCCTTTGTCCTCATCATTGGTGAGGTCAAACAGCCAGTAGTGTTTCGGGCAAGTCCTTAATCCTAATTTTTCCGTGGAATACAACCCTGTCAACAACCAGGTACCCATTTTACTGTTGGGTTAAACAGAGGCTACAGTTAAGGACTTGCGTCCAGTAAAGCCTCCCCGGCCAGGATACGAACCGAGGCCAAAGCGCTCGCGAAACGCCTGGCGAGTGTCTTACCACTACGCCACGGGAACTGCATCAGTTAATACATTTAATCTTCCTTTCGCTCACCCTATAAATCAGTATATCCACTAATCCATCTGATGGGACTAATATTCCATGCATTCATCCACCAATCCATGCGTCCCATCCGTCTATCAACCGACCCACATTTATTAATCAATCCACCCAGTCATTCACTCTTCTGTACCAATCACCTGTAACGCAACCCGTCCTCTTAAAAATAACGTCACTTTTCGCTCGTATGCGCGCTATGGACAAATTTGGACGTAATATGAAATGAAATTGACTCACAAAAGTGACGTACTGTTCCGTTTTTTGTTTGAGTCGTCCGGCCTACTCGGACAGGTCAGGAGAGGAAACATACAATTAACGTTTTTCATAACATTTTGAAACTTTATGAGAATTTCCTGCCCACCTAACCTATCAGAGGACCCTTAACTTACTGTTGTTGAAAAAAAAAAATCCCAAATTTATTTTCATTTTTTTTTTATTTTCAAATTACGTCCACTTTCGGCCATACGGGTAAACGGCCGAAAGCGACGTTATTTTTAAGAGGACAGGTTGTACACGTTAGTCCATCCGTGCGCTGATCCGCTCCTCCATCCACCACACAATCCACCCATCCATAGCCCCCACTCTGTTAATCCATACACCAGGCCAGCACCTGCCCCCCCCCCACCTGTCACGTCCAACAATACATTAACCCCCCCCCCCCCCCGGCCGGTCTAGCCGCCGCCTCCGTCCACACAGTTCACTGACACTATCATCCCCCCATCACCCCCCAACCCCACCCCATCAACCCCTCCCCTCTTTGACCCCCTCCTAACACCTCCCTCCCCCAACCCCCCTCTTTCTCTTTCATCTATGCTAATACCACTGTAATCACCCAGTCAGCCTCGTATGGTCGAGTGTAGAGTGTCAAAGAGCAGCGGAATGACCTCTACGAGAGCGCCTGCTTTAAACCATATATAGCTAAAAAAAATGTATTTGATGTATGTCAAATGAATTGTTATTTCGAAATTTTTTGTCAAATTGTCCAACATTCTTTTTTATATATATAAACATTTGAGCTGTCATGGTGCTGACATCAACACAGAGGAATAACGAAATAAAGGAACTTTGGTTAATAATATAAGGCCCTGGACTTAGGTTACCTGGATAAGGTTACCTGGCCCAACGGCCAGGTAACGCTGATAACGGCCCGTGCCGGTACACTCAGAGGTGCACCGCGGTGTACACTCACTCTACAGTATACCGTACAGGTCAGAGGCTCGCATAACTAGCGTTACTGCCGGGTTTACCTCGTGTATAAGTAAAAGCTTTTTCCTCCTGTTGGGAAGTGTGTGTGTGTATGTATGGACTGCTGGCAAGTATACAGGACGAGGGAGTGTGTGTATGGGCTGCTGGCAAGTATACAGGACGAGGGAGTGTATGTATGGACTGCTGGCAAGTATACAGGACGAGGGAGTGTATGTATGGACTGCTGGCTAGTATACAGGACGAGGGAGTGTATGTATGGACTGCTGGCAAGTATACAGGACGAGGGAGTGTATGTATGGACTGCTGGCAAGTATACAGGACGAGGGAGTGTATGTATGGACTGCTGGCAAGTATACAGGACGAGGGAGTGTGTGTATGGACTGCTGGCAAGTATACAGGACGAGGGAGTGTGTGTATGGACTGCTGGCAAGTATACAGGACGAGTGTGTATGGACTGCTGGCAAGTATACAGGACGAGTGTGTATGGACTGCTGGCAAGTATACAGGACGAGTGTGTATGGACTGCTGGCAAGTATACAGAACGAGTGTGTGTGTGTATGGGCTGCTGGCTAGTATACAGGACGAGGGAGTGTGTGATACACATTATAGGCCGGCGTCCTCATGATAGCCAATTTGAATTCAGGATTTGTCCAGCTTTTTCCTTTTCAGAATTTGATGTATGTTAGACGTGTATGTGACGGGTGACCAACGTGTGTGTGACGAGTGACCAACGTGTGTGTGACGAGTGACCAACGTGTATGTGACGGGTGACCAACGTGTGTGTGACGAGTGACCAACGTGTGTGTGACGAGTGACCAACGTGTATGTGACGGGTGACCAACGTGTGTGTGACGAGTGACCAACGTGTATGTGACGGGTGACCAACGTGTGTGTGACGGGTGACCAACGTGTGTGTGACGGGTGACCAACGTGTGTGACGGGTGACCAACGTGTGTGTGACGAGTGACCAACGTGTATGTGACGGGTGACCAACGTGTGTGTGACGGGTGACCAACGTGTGTGGACGACGGAGTGACCAACGTGTGTAGACGGGTGACCAACGTGTGTGACGGGTGACCAACGTGTGTGACGGGTGACCAACGTGTGTGACGGGTGACCAACGTGTGTGTGACGAGTGACCAACGTGTATGTGACGAGTGACCAACGTGTATGTGACGAGTGACCAACGTGTGTGTGACGGGTGACCAACGTGTGTGTGACGGGTGACCAACGTGTGTGTGACGGGTGACCAACGTGAGTGTGACGGGTGACCAACGTGTGTGTGACGGGTGACCAACGTGTGTGACGGGTGACCAACGTGTGTGTGACGGGTGACCAACGTGTGTGTGACGGGTGACCAACGAGTGTGGCGGGAACAAATCAGTCACCTGGCGTGTAGTGACACATTAAGCAGCTGGTCACGAGCGTGACTCATTGTTATCAATGTCCCTCCCCCCAATACGCGAGACTATTGATCACTGCTATCACAGAGAGAGAGAGAGAGAGAGAGAGAGAGAGAGAGAGAGAGAGAGAGAGAGAGAGAGAGAGAGAGAGAGAGAGAGAGAGAGAGAGAGAGAGAGAGAGAGAGAGAGAGAGAGAGAGAGAGAGAGAGAGAGAGAGAGAGAGAGAGAGAGAGAGAGAGAGAGAGAGAGAGAGAGAAACAAACAAACAAACACTCCACACACATATAAGTTTCCTTCAGAAGGTGGTGGCGGCCAAGACCGTCAGTAATTCCAAAGTGTTATACGACAAAGAGTGCTGGGAAGACGGGACACCACGAGCGTAGCTCTCATCCTGTAACTACACTTAGGTAATTACACACACACACACGCAACCGCTCAGTCGCTGCCGTCGTCGTGTTCAAATTATTACAGTAGAACTAGGGAGAAGTCATCCGTCCAGGGTCCCGGGACCGGACGCCCCCTTGGCATAGTGTGCGAGAGTACTGGAGCCTACAGTGTTGTTTAAGATTCGCTACTTGGAACAAAAAGTTCCAAGTAGCACAGGCTATGGTGAGCCCGTGTTGGACTTAAGCGTGAGGTGGCCGCCAGGTAGTGGAGGCAGACTCCAGGCTGGAATTAAATTGAAAGTAAGTGAACAAGTATTGTGAACGGCCCACCAGACGCTCCACGACCGCTCTCTTAGAACTAAAGCACATTTACTGTAACCACGACCACGACCACGACCATGACCATGACCACGACCATGACCACGACCACGACCATGACCATGACCACGACCACGACCACGACCATGACCACGACCATGACCACGACCATGACCACGACCATGACCATGACCATGACCACGACCACGACCAGGACCACGACCACAACCACAACCACGACCACGACCACGACCACGACCACAAACACGGCCACAACCACAACCACGACCACAACCACAACCACGACCACGACCAGGACCACGACCACAACCACGACCACGACCACAACCACTACATGAACCAGATCACCTGTTACACATTCTTGTGTTCCCTAACTAACCTTTATTACACTAGTCTTCAAAGGTCAAAGGTCAGAGGTGAGGTAACTGTGAGACAGCGCTGAGCGGGTGAGTATATCCCTAGGGGAAGGTTATAAGCATATCGGTCTGGGATATAACAGAATGAAGGAAAGGTGCCCAACCGCTTCGACCACTTTCTTCCAAACAAATAATAATTGGCGGTGTGTTAATGGAGCTCTTTAGAGTGCTAATACCTGTGTACTAAATGTCTAAAGTTCAGTCGTTATATTGTCTGTTTTGTTTTTTCAAGGGAAGAGCTGCTTGTCTGCCCCCCCCCCAACACCATGCAGGGGCACCGTTCCCCCTCCCCCCTGAGGGAACAGTCCCTGAGGGCACAGTCCTCCATCACTGTACATGTCACCATCTTCAACAGCACGGGGCGCTGATCGACACAGTGAGCCACGACCGGTCGTCTCCACTCAAGTTTGCCATCAAGTACAAGTCACATCAAGCTCTCGCCAAGCTCATCGAGGTGAGTACACGGGTGTAGGTGTAGTACACCATACTGCCCCAGTACACAGGCAGCAGTGGGGTGTAGTACACCATACTGCCCCAGTACACGGGCAGCAGTGGGGTGTAGTACACCATACTGACCCAGTACACGGGCATCAGTGGGGTGTAGTACACCATACTGCCCCAGTACACGGGCAGCAGTGTAGGTGTAGTACACCATACTGCCCCAGTACACGGGCAGCAGTGTAGGTGTAGTACACCATACTGCCCCAGTACACGGGCAGCAGTGTATGAGTTTCAACCTTGGACGGACGGACGGACGGACACACACACACACACACACACACACACACACACACACACACACACACACACACACACACACACACACACACACACACACACACACACACACACACACACACACACACACACACACACACACACACACACATATTCTCTTGTAGATATAAATTAAGTTTATGAATTCCCAATAACAATTAACTCTGAACAAAATAACTTTTTGTGCCCTATATTTTGCAATTCTTTCGGTTCATGGAATTTGGCAATATATAAGGAATGTGCTTCAAACTGAACTGGCGCAGTTCAGTTTGATAACCAGAATTGCCTAATTCAAATAAATTACCCGAATACACGTGGCTGATGGCCGATTATATTCTTCAATATTAACCGAACTATTTTTAACCGTCTCTTATATCACTGCTGAGGAAAGGTTTTGAAGTCAATTAACAGAGTAATCTTAACACAACTCTACTTTTGCAGACATTGTACTACTAAATGAGTAGAAAATAACTGTTCTTGATCAATTCAAGAACAGTCATCTGTTCTTAAATTGGTGCCCAACCACTTGGACGGTACTTGGACGGTGAAATAAAAGGTAGTTGTGATTATCAGTATCAAAGGCCTTTCTCAAGTCAATGAATAGTTTAATCTGAAACTCATTTTTGTCAAGGGCTGAGTAGAATATATCTAATAATTGCATCGTTGACACTCTTTTGGGAGCGGAAGTCAAACTGACAGGGGCTGAGTATGTCGAATTTTACGAGGTAGAAGTAGAGCTGTTTGTAGATAATTTTTTCATATATTTTTGATAGTATGGGTAGGTTTGATATTAGTCTATAATTGTTTATGTCTGCCGGATTGCCTCCTTTATGAACTGGCGTTACTCATGTTCTTTTAAGAATATCAGTGAAGGTATGACACTCTAGAGATTTGTTGAACGGTTCCATATCATAAATACAACAGCTATATTCAAGCAGAGAGCAATACATATCGTGGGCAGTGCAGCTTGTGGGGCGTGTCTGGGGTGTCCCATCATGCTGGCACGAGCCTGCAATCTTACTCACTTATTTTCTGGTGTAAAAATGTATCGTTCTTCTCCAGTTGGGTGTCAATGTGGACTCCACCTCCAACAACATGGAGGCGCCCCTGGTCACGGCCGCCAGCACCAACAACGTCGATGCTGTCGTCGCTCTCCTACAGGTGGGTACCTCTTTATTTAGTAAAGGTTGGAGAGATACAGGTGAAGGGAATATTCCAGAAATGTTTAAGAAAGTGAGTTATGATAATAGTTGGACTGTCCGCCTTGCAGAGGTGTGTTTGCTTAATAGCCTAGCATACGCTTGATATCTCTGTCTCGCTCTCTTGCCAGGCTGGGGACTGGCATCATATACTACACACATTCCGATGCTTACGTACATGTTTTGCGGTTCCTCTTCCCTGTATGGTACTCATTTCTGAATTTTCCATGTTGGTTTTTATGGTCTGAATTTTATCTTGGAATGATGTATTGTGGGGCTTGGTTGGCCTAGAGGAGAGCCAAGCCCTCGAGCCACCAGGCGTGGGGAGTGGCCTGCCTGCGGACATATATGCTGCTGGAGAGGTAGCTGGTGGCAGGCTCCTAGATCAGGGAAGAAGGGGATTAGGTGGGGGTAATTGCTCTTCAGCGAGGTGCATGTTGTGTTGTAACAGTTGTTGAGGTAACTTGAGTAGAGACTTGGGATGGTGCCAGACTTACGAGACATTCACAGGAAGGTTAGGTAAGGTCAAACAAACCACACCTCGAGTAGTTACCTCGAGTAGTTTCAAAGGTTGGAAGGCGATCTCTTGTTACCAGATTCAAATCCGTCCATTCAACGGAATTTGGGAATAGACGGGTATAGCTCGTTACGAGAGAGAGAGAACTTACGGGCTATTCATGCCCGTGCCACCTCTAGCGTGGCTTAATCTTTATCAATCAATCAATCGAGGGAGAAGACGCGGGCTATTCATGCCCTTGGCACCTCTTGGGTTGCTTAATCCTTATCAATCAACGTGGGAGAAGAGTTGTATTGTATGTCTCAGACGAGACAGGAGTCTGGGGTGTAGTGTTATTTGTGTAGAGTTATTCATAGACAGTTCCCAGTGAATAGTGAAAGTCGACCGTGTTCTCCCCCCCCCACCCCCGCGGTGATATCCTTCCCTCACCACGTTAACTCTCCCGTGACCAGCATCCACACGCTAATTTAAAGAGACACCAATATGGCTGGGAACCCAACAAAACTCAACCAACTTAAATTTACTGTGAACAAGAAACAGCCAATGCTGAATCTCGACAACCACTGGATGAACCGGATTAAAGGACCCGAGAGCCATGAGAGCACTACGAGAGTCAACAACAACTACAAAGGAAGATTCACGAGAAAGCAGGAGATGAAGAGCATAGAGAATAGTATAAAGTTCCGCTGTGAAGATGCTAGTTTCTGGAGGTAAACGACACATATAAGTGCAATCAGGTAAAACAACAGAGTAGCCTACACCGTCCGCAGACTTAGACCCATCGGTAAAGACGGAAACGGAGCGGGAGTGAGAAGAAAAGTGCGCAAGGAAAAGGCGTTTTAGAACCGTAGGGGGGGGGGGGGGTAAAAACTTTAGTGATGCGGGTCAAGGATGTACAAAACTGTGGAAGGGGGACTCTCCACAGGGGCAAAGAAGGAACAACATGAGGAGAAATATTAGAAATACGAACGGACAGAGAATCCTGTAAGCGAAATAACCGGACAGAAAGAGGGAGGTGGTGAAGAGGAACAAGAACAGCAGGAGAGGCAAAAGTTAAAGCACGACAGAGGCGAGAGGAAGGATGTTGCAAGGACTGCGCAAGATAACGAAGACAGTAGCAATCACGGCAGTCCTGGAGAGACAGGAAGCCAGTGTCAACATACTAGCTGAGAACGGGAGTCAAACGAAAGGCACCAGAACTGAGGCGCAACCCAGAATGTTGCAAAGCAAGACGGCGAAGAGCAGGAGAAGCAGGCGAGTAAGCAGGGCAACCATAATCGAGCTTTGACAGGACACGAGAGAGGAATGTAAAGTGAGTAGAGTGCCCCTATCCGCTCCCCAAGAAGTATGGGACAATACCCAAAAGAGGGTAAGGGCCCTAGAGCATTCAACACGGAGGTAAGAGATATGGGGCGACCAAGACAAACGAGTGTCAAAAATCAACCCCTAAAGCTTAGCAGAATCCTTGTACACAATGGGGGTAACTATAAAGCGACAAAGAAGGACGAAAAACGACACGCTTCCGAGTAAAAGTCATGGCACAAGTCTTAGAAGTAGAGAACCTGAAGCCATGATCAATGGCCCAAGACGACACGGCATCAATCGCAAGTTGAAGCCGGCGTTGAAGGAGAGGCGAATCATCACCCTGACAGCAAAGGGTAAGATCGTCGACATAAAGAGCAGAGAAGACGCCTGAAGGGAGAGAGGAAAGAAGACCATTGAGGGCAACCAGAAAAAGGGTAGTGCTCAGAACACTACCCTAGGGCACACCTTCGCATTGCTGAAAAGAGGCAGAGAGAGCAGTACCAAGCCTTACCTGAAAGGAACGATGAGAGAGGATGCTGTGGAGAAAGAGAGGGAGACGACCACGAAGGCCAAAAGAATGAAGCTGGGATGGAATATATTGCCAAGTGGTGTCGTAAGCCTTTTCCAGGTCAAAAAGGACGGCAACAACGGACGTCTTTGCAGCATAAGCAGTACGAATATCGACCTCCAAGTTCACCAGGACATCTGTCGTGCTGCGGCACTTGTGGAAACCAAATTGAGAAGGGAAGAGGTGGTGATGGTGTTCTAAGAACCACATCAGACGAACGTTAACCATACGTTCAAAGAGTTTGCAGACACAACTTGTGAGGGCAACAGGGCGAAAGTCCTTAGGGGAAGTACCCAGACACCCTGGTTTGCGAACAGGGAGGACAACGGCATCGAGCCAGTCCTCAGGGACTGACGACGACTCCCAGATCCGATTATACAGACTCGGTAAATACTGAGACGTGCATGGAGGGAGATGGCGAAGCATCTCATAATGAATGCCATCGGAGCCCGCCACCGTAGCAGACAAAAATCAGAGGATACAACTGACGATTTACTATAAAACCAGAAAAACGGCCAGCCTACTCATGAGAAACTCTCCAGACACAAAGCAGAACGCTTTAAAAGAGACTAACGTCGTCTATGCCTTTAAATGCCCTCTTGGGGACTGTAAGCTCCAAAAAAACAGTATATAGGCAAGACAACAACATCTCTTTCTAGGCGTTTAACGATGCATAAGCAACAGGGCTCCATTAAGGAACATATAATCTCTTCCCACAACCAAACCATCGCCAGAGAAATCCTAGTAAACAACACAGAAATCATCGATAGATACAGCGATAGCAGACGGCTTGACGTTTGCGAGGCACTACACATTAAAAAGTCAACACCAGCAATCAACAGCCAATTAATGCACAACTATATTCTACCCACCTCAAGACTCCGCTCCAATATAGAAGCATCAAGAAATATGGACCAATAGGCTTTCTACAATCACTTCCATTCAATACCCATTGTTTCGTGTTCTGTCTTGTGTTGATGAATTTAATACCCTATTAATACCACCTCACCCCATCCACCTCACTAAAATGTAGATATAAACAAATCGGAGATGTGTAAGTTCTATTCAGTTGTGTATGTGTAAACTAAAGTCTTTGAAAATGTAATAAGTTTTACGAAACGCGCTCAAGTGTCGCGTCAGACTAGAAATAAAAATGAATTTTGGAGAATTGATTTTTGAATTACCACCAACAGTGAAAAGGAATGTACGAAAGATCGAGAAAATTCGTGTTAGAATTATTAATCTTACTTTTTCGGTCATATTTAATAATATATATATATATATATATATATATATATATATATATATATATATATATATATATATATATATATATATATATATATATATATATATATATATATATATATATATATATATATATATATATATATATATATATATATATATATATATATATATAAACACACTTTTTTCTAACAACTAACTTCTCTCTCTTCTTCCCCAGGCAAATGCCCAATACTCTGGGCTAATGATCCCAATCATGAACAGCTCAGAGAGTGTGGATCTGTTGACATGGGCAACCAGAAATGGCCACACGGAAGTGGAGAGCATAATCACTTCCAAGGAAGCAGAAAACGAGGATGAAGGTGGTGTGGAAGGTGGAAACGAGGTTGAAAATGTAGGGGAAGTCATTACCACAGAGGGAGAAGGAAAGGATGCAGAGGATGATTTGGCTCGAGAAGCAGGTGATGGTGCGGAGGAGGTGGTACCAGCAACTGAAACCACAGCTGATGCGTCTGCAGAAGATGCGCCTGCAGAAGAAGCAGCTGCAGAAGATGCGCCTGCAGAAGAGGCAGCTGCAGAAGAGGCAGCTGCAGAAGAGGCAGCTGCAGAAGAGGCAGCTGCAGAAGAGGCAGCTGCAGATGATGCAACTGTAGAAGATTCTACTGCAGTCAATGCACCTGCAGAAGACACTACTGCAGAAGATGGACCTGCAGAAGATGGACCTGCAGAAGATGGACCTGCAGAAGACACTACTGCAGAAGACCCTACTGCAGAAGGTGCACCAGCTGAAGGTGCACCAGCAGATGATGCTCCAGCAGGTGATGAGGCAAATGAGGGGAAAGAAGAAGAGGTGAGTGGTGAATAAGTAATGTCCTCATTGGGCCACATCGCTCTGTGGCCGGTTGCAGCAGATGCCTTTGACTGGGATGGTAATCTAAAATAAAGGATTCTAAAGGATAAAGGATAAATACTAAATTATCACAATTTTCATACAAAACTGCTTGATACCTGCTTGTTAAACTCATTGGTTACTTAACACAGTAAGGTAAATAGTATAGTGTAATATTTGTAGTACATTGTTGTTTGTAAAAGTAGACACTTGTCCTACCAGTGACTGCTGTGGGTGGCATCGGAGATGTAATAAGCACCTCAGATGGCAACATTTTCAGCTCTTTATAATCTGGCATGTAGATAGCTTAGTGGCACTCCTGGTCACCATGCATTGTGTCAAAGATGTGTAATATTGTGTGTGTAATATAGATGACTTAGAATATACATGTTATAGAAGTATAAAGATTGCTGGTGTGGAAAATTGTAAACAATAATTCTATTGTCATAGTACAAATCCAACTATTATTTCTTTACAGGGGACCCCTGCATTGAGTAACTGGTTAATATAGATACGTAAGTCATTCGAATTGCTTGTTGTGTGATATATCAATGCTTACTCGGTGCAGAAACTTACATGTAATTGCAAGTGTTGGGTTAAGACCTGTTGCTCACTGCTCCCGAATCACACAGATATCCCCCAGTATTTTAAAACATTTACCTGAAATAAAAAATTCCATAAAAATATTTAATTAGTTTTCAATTTGTCAGATTAAGGGGAATTTTCCATTCAAATAACTTTTCTATAATTGTCTTTATTACACAGTCTAACAGCTATGTATACTTTTCTAAAATAACTGCAGCAGTGCGACGTTTGCAGGCAAGAAATAAGCCTGGCAATGTCCACTGTCATTACAGCTAATGGAAGGAGTAAGGAATATAAGGACGTTGCAGGCACAGATGGAGGCACAACCATAAACTGCACATAATGGATCAGGCTAGAGGTACTAACACAGCAATATTTCCATAACCTAGTTAGGAAATATAGTTAGTTAGTTAGCCATACTCTTTGAGTGAATTATTCTATTTTCATCCTGTTAGACTACCGTGACTATTCCATGTCATTATATTCTTCCCACTCTAAGTTCATACAAGTGATGGTCTCTCATTACTACACCATTCCCAAGACCATCATCACTTTGAGTACAGTGTCACTTAGAGCATTGTACAGTATCAGGATTTATCTAATGACCCAAAGATAAATCAATAAATTATACACAAACAATTTGAACAAAAATTGCACTCTTAGCAGATATTTTCATTTTATTAGGCAGTTAAGATAAAGATACTATTACATACCAATACATTAACACACATAAATCATACTAAAGTGTGATACATATCAATGATAAAATCCATTAGGGCTGTGAGGTGGTGGGAACCTACGACCAAGGCATTGCCAGCTGCATACTCTACCACTGGACCACCACTGACTTGTAAAAAACTCATACAACTGGATTTCTACTGAAATCACAGGAAGTCTGGAAGCACCTACTGAAGCCAGTCCAAATTCCTAGTGGATTTTCTCATAGATATACAGTACATCACAAGGGGTGTGATTTGTGTGCATTTCTGAAGTTGGGGTGTATGGTGTAGGACCACTTTGCCCTTCCACCCGAGTGCTTGTGGGTCATACATAAAAACTTGGACTAACTGCAGCAGGTGCCTCCAGACTTCCTGTGATTTCAGTAGAAATCCGGTAGTATGACTTTTACAAGTCAGCGGTGGTCCAGTAATAGAGTATGCGGGTGGCAATGCCTTGATCATATGTTCGCTCTCACTTCACACATCAATAGTGTTCCATAAATTGACAGTTGAGAGGCGGGACCAAAGAGCCAGAGCTCAACCCATGCAAGCACAACTTGGTGAGTATAAAGACCTGAAGAAAGTCACATATGCTCTACAGCAAGAATTTTGGGGTGACAAGCAATTCTAGCATTCACAAATTGTTACGATTCATTTTCACAAAATTTTGTGCAAAAACGTAATTGAATACATAACAACAGTGCTATTTAACCAGTACCAGTACAGCGGTATTTGCAAAACTAATTAAGGATTTAGTGAAATAGGACAGACCCTATACACACACACTAAATATCTTCTAGGCATCCAAAATTGAAATTACTGCAATATAAAGTATGTTGAGAATACAGTGCTACCATGCATGCAAGACTCTGGTGAACACTGCACTCCTTTCATCCATCAGACATTGTACAAAACCTTCAAGCGTCTTGTAGCTGTCATCAGTATTGAAAACCCGGTGTTGAATGTAATGAAACCCCATTTTCTGGGTATGCCCCGGAAGTTCTCTGAAGCTGTCCGAACTGATACGTGCTATATTAGTTTGGGGTCTTCAGTCTCAGGAGTCCTTATGCCTACCAGGGATCACGAGCTAGAATCTGGCCCCCTCAGAGAGACGCAGGGAGCAATGGCCTATGAGCACTTTACATTTAAGAATGTAAAGAATGTCATTATTGCCATCAACCGTGGAAGGACCCATGAAAGATATGCAAATCAAAACATACAAGTGTCTGATTAACCTGTGCAATCTACATCAAAAAAATATAAAAATAAATACCCCTAGAAAAAAACCAACAAGCAACACTTCGTACAACCCGTTCTCCCGCAAATTTAATAAGTCAATATTGACTTATTAACTACGTGCATAGGTGACATACTTAACATAATAGATACCCTTAAAAAGATTCATAGAAAACACCGACCTTACCTAACCTTGTTAGTATCTTAAGATAAGCATCTTATTGCTTCGTAATTACAATTATTACCTAACCTATAATAGGTATAGGTTAAGTAATAATTGTAATTACGAAGCAATAAGATGCTTATCTTAAGATACTAACAAGGTTAGGTTAGGTCGGTGTTTTCTATGAATCTTTTTAGGGGTATCTATTATGTTTAGTATATCACCTATGCACGTAGTTAATAAGTCAATACTGACTTTACGAATTTGCGAGAACGGGTTGTACAACTAGCACTCCCGCTCGTTAGCGTTACCCACAACCCCCCTGGAGACGGGGAGGGGAAGTCGGCAGCCCACCACTCCAGTTCTTGAATGATGAAAATAACCAACCTGAGGGAGTGAGGGGTGTCAGGCAGCCTCCGGGATTCACCCAGAAAATAGCGTTTCAAAACATTACAGAAAATGGTGATTCGCCTACCTTTCTGAGTCCTTCCCTGATCGATGGCATTTATGAAATAGTTTAAATGTAAAGTGCTCATAAGCCATTGCTCTCTGCATGCCTCTGAGGAGGTCAGGTTCTGGCTCATAGTCCCCAATAGGCATAAGGACTCCTGTGACTGATGACCCCAAACTAATATAGCACATATCAGTTTGGATAACTTCAGGGAGCCAACAGGGCTCCCCTCAGAAAGGATTTCATAACAGAGCACAACAAATCCTTCTGTAAAGTAGACTTGGTTGTTAGACGTTATGATGACATGTATGTTCAGATGGCAGCTGCTCATTTGCTTTACATGTAATAATGTAACTTTCAATATCAAGGCATTAACCCCCCTAACTGTGCAAGCTATTTTGATGCATTGTCTGTTATGCACAAGAAAACATTGTTCTGAATTTTTTTTCGTTTCACATTATTAATTAGCCTTTAGAAATCATGAAAATCAATGTAAAATGTTTCAGCCTATCGCAGGTTAACTGTAGTGGCCCGGAAGTTGAGTTTTTGGATAGAAATGAGACAAGGTGCCCCATAGGCATATGATCTATTTCTCAGAATTTCTCATTTGATTAATTTTTGTGTGTTGACATGCTTCATTGGTGTCAATAGTTGTATTCATTACGTATAACTTTAGAAATACTCTATACATATGCGGTGAAATGTGTGTATAAAAATATGCACACCCTGTATTAATTTATACCAGGAGGTCCCCATTATACTAATGCCAGTTATAAACCCTCGTCCTTCAGAACAGCTTCTCAAGTACCCGTTCTTATAAATAAATAAAATAAAATAAAATAAAATGTTTATTCAGGTAAGGTACATACATACAAGAGATTTTACATAAATTGATTGATTTATAGATAGAGCTAGTACATACAATGCCTAAAGCCACTATTACGCAAAGCGTTTCGGGCAGGAAAAACATTAATGACTAAAAACTTAATACTAATTGAGTATAAAGAATAAAATGTGTTGAGAACAAATAAAAATAAAGATAAAAAAAGGGGAAACATGGCTGAAAAAGCAGCACAAATACAATTAGGTCGACAGACAGCGTTGTTTAAGAAAACAGACATGGGTTGACAATAGAGGGGTAAGATAGGTTACAGGGAATTTATTAGGTAGTGCTTCGTTTTTATCTTAAATTGGTTGAGAGAGGTACAGTCTTTAACATGGTTGGGAAGGTCATTCCACATTCTGGGTCCCTTGATTTGTAGAGCATTTCTAGTCTGATTAAGTCAAACTCTTGGAATATCAAAACTGAATTTATTTCTGGTGTGGTGCTCATGGGATCTGTTACAACCTTCAATGAATCTTTTGAGGTCAGGATTGGCATTACAGTTCAGCTTTTTATATATGTATAATACACATGAGAGAATGTGCAGTGACTTAATATCTAACATATTCAGAGATTTGAGTAGGGGTACCGAGTGATGTCTGGGGCTAGAGTTGGATATTGTCCTAATAGCAGCTTTGTGTTGAGTAATTAGAGGACGTAAATCATTTTGGGTAGTAGAACCCCAAGCACAAATACCATAGTTGAGATATGGATAGATGAGGGAGTAATAGAGCGTCACCAGGGCATGGCGGGGTACATAATATCTGATCTTAGAAAGAATGCCAACAGTTTTTGAAACTTTTTTTTATATATTTAGAATGTGTCCCTGGAAATTCAGCTTGTGGTCAATGAGAACGCCAAGGAATTTGCCATCTAATTTGTTACCAATTTGGGTATTGTTTATTCTGAGATTTATTTGATTAGAGGATTTATTGCCAAACAGAATATAGAAAGTTTTGTCAATGTTAAGGGTGAGTTTGTTGGCCGTTAGCCAAAGATGGACTTTATTTAGCTCAGTATTTACTGTGGCATTTAGAGCAAGGGGGTCAAGACTGGAGTAAATGAAGGTTGTGTCGTCAGCAAATAGAATTGGTTTGAGGTGTTGGGAGGCATTTGGAAGGTCATTAATGTAGATGAGAAAGAGGAGAGGGCCAAGTATGCTGCCCTGAGGAACACCGATGTTGATGGGTAGGGTGGGAGAAATTGAATTATTCACAGAAACTTACTGGAGCCTCTCAGTAAGGTAAGATATGAGGTATTGCAGGGAGTGTCCTCTGACTCCATAATGATGTAATTTAAGAAGAAGGTTTTGGTGGTTGACAGTGTCAAAAGCCTTACGCAGGTCCACAAATAACCCAACAGGGAACTCATTTTTATCAAGAGCTGCATGAATCAAGTTAATCATACTAATAAGTGCATCGTTAGTGTTTTTTTTTTTGGTCTGAAGCCATATTGACAAGAGCTAAGTATATTGTGTTTGGCTAGATAAGCGTAAAGCTGCTTGTAGATTAGTTTTTCAAATATTTTTGACAAGTTAGGCAGGATTGATATAGGTCTGTAGTTGTTAACATCTGTGAGATCACCACATTTGTGGACAGGGGTTACTCTCACTTTTTTCAGGATATCTGGAAAGGTTTGGAGTTCAAGTG